CCCCAAAACCCCAAAACCCCAAAACCCCAAAACCCCACATTGGAATGTATAATTGAACCAATAATAATTAAATAGTCAAGTATTATAAATGGAGCCAGTCCAAGACAGTTATTTACTAGGAGGATTCTTCAACCATAAAAAGGAGGAAGACTTTATGAGTGTTGATTCTGAGAGCAATGGTAAGCTACTGTCCAATTTCATTGGCCAAAGCTGAGGATTTTTCAATACTATAAGAATTTTGGGGGCTTATTATTTAGAATTTCATAATTTTACCTTCTTTGAATGAAGGACGGATCATAAACGTCTGCAAGATTTTTGATTTTTACTTAGCTAGAACTAGATTTGAAAATAATAGGACTCTCCAAAACCTCACTGAATAATTTATTTAAAAGTGGAAATAATTATTAGGGGGTAATTCTTCTAGGAAAAGAGCGGAATTAAGGAACTCTTACGTCCTCTTTACTTTATACATCTTGCACAACCTGATTCATAGATATTTTGAATACTAATCTTTAATAGGTTCTAAACCAAAGGAATCTCAGAGCAAACTAACCTCAATGCTGAGCTATTTGTGGAAAAACCCGCTTATCAAGATCAGTCAGAAAGAAGAGAGTTTCGATCCTATCGAGCTTGGAGACTCTGCTCTTTCCACAAAGGATGATTGCGATAGCTGTATGAGTACCTATGATAATGTACTTTTATCGGGTGCAAAAGTAACCCAGGATTCGATCATATCCAAAGAGAATGAACTTCTTAACAAATTCAAAAATGATTACGCAGGCCACGATCACTCCCAACAATGTGACTCAGACGTTGATGGGACGGAGGAAGAGTGAACTGGAGAAAATTGAGAATACATCTGTGGATGCTGAGAATTCGATGATGATTGAGTTGCACGAGATAACAATGGTGACGTCATTGATAGGTTCCACTGTGTGCACTACCATAAACACGAACAGGAGCGTTTCAAGTCTATAAAAAAGGCAAAGAAGGTCATTACTAATTGAAAGAGTTATAAAGCTATTGTCAGACAGCTCAAAAAGATCAAAAAAGTCAAAAACCTCCTATCCTAATTGCACCTAACTTAATTTCTCTCGTCTCAATTTCCTTAATTATTATTGGGGTTTTGGGGTTTTGGGGTTTTGGGGTTTTGGGGTTTTGGGGTTTTGGGG